CACACACACACACACACACACACACACACACACACACTGCTGATGGGCCGGTTGTGTTTGTTTTGGGCTGGAGGGAGCTGTTCTGGAGTGAGTTCCCATCCCATGGAAACGTGGAGCCCCAGGGAGGGAATATTTGGAATGCCAAGGCCGTCGTTTCACTTGTTTGCTCTCTGTTCCTGAGGGCTTGAATGCAGGCGGGGATTAGAAAAGAGACATTACACGTTCGTTAAGGTAGGATTAGTCCGTCCTGTTAACCACGGCTTATTTTAATCTTAGGTGTCTGAGGTTTGAATGAGTACTCAACTTATTTTAGTAGCATTTGTGTGCTGATCTATTTAGATAGCCTGGTTTATTTTAGAAAAAAGCTGGTTAATCTCACACAAACCTTTTAAGAACACGTTCAAGTCATATTTCACCAAATAAAAATTTTGGTTTTTTTTGCTAAAAAAAAGAGACCTGTTTTTTTCTCTTTAATATTATTTGCATTGTGACGATATTTTCTTGACAATTATGCATGAATTTGCCCTCTCCTAAATTGTAATCACTGAAAATATTTAAGAATTTTTTAATATTATTTTTTTTAAATATTTAAAATATATATTTTATATTAATATTTACAATTATATATTTTATATTAATATTTAATTAGTAAAATTGTACAAAAAGTGCATATGAAGTCCCTTGATGATATTATGTATATTAAATACGATATTAAATAAGACTAAAAAATTATAAAAAAAATCATTGTTCCCATTTATGATTCTCTTTACGGTTACTGTATTAATAACGAATAAATAAATAAACAAATAAATGTATTGTTACTATATTTCACCTTTTTTAAGAAAACACACCAAAACAAAATTTTTTCTCACATCTGTATCTTTAATATTATTTGGATTGTGATTTTTTTTGTGACAGTTTTGCATTAATTTGCCCCCTCACAAGTTTTAAGTACCGAAAGTATTGTTATTAATGTTTGAAGAAAAATGTGATCAATTAAATCCTTTAATTGATGCTGGTTTTAATTATAAAACTAATTGTTGTTCCCAGTTATGATTTTCTTTACTGTTACTGTATTTAAAATAATGAGAATGAGATTTTTGTAATAAAAAATGTGCATAATCCTCGTTAAAATAATGTCACATTGCAAAAAACAAAAAAATCGAACAAAAAAAAGTTGTCTGAATGCTGTTGCATTTTTCGGGGAAAAGCAGTTTGTACAGTCTGAAATGATAAAGCAATAGATCTAGTGTTGAAATGATGTTATTGTGAAAAATATTGACACTTTCTGTGTTTGTGAAGCGTTAGGAAATATGGTTTAACATTTGAGACATGCAGAGGCAGACACTTCATTTGATAGCTGGTGGTTAACTTGTATACAGTAGATATGTTTGCTGGGGATCTTTTGGTTGTTTTAGGACTTTTAAAGGAGAAAATGTGTGAAAAGCGTGACTTTGTTTTTAACGTTGAATATTTGAGTCAATCTCCATGAAACTGAAGCATCAAGACTGTGATTGTAGTTTTAATATTAAAAACTTGTAGTCGGATGTGGTTTCGGAGAAAGAAATACAGCGTCAGGTTTTGTAGAAACTTCTGATAGTAATTTTTTAGAAAAATAGTAAAGCAAATGTCATTTCTTGTGCAAGCAAAATATTTTGGGGGGAAAGCAGTTGAAATGACATATATACACCTGCTCAAGGCTGCATTTATTGCATCAAAAATACAGAGAAAATTGTGAAATATTATTACAATTTAAAATAACGGTTTTCTATTTTAACATACTCTAAAATATAATTTATTTCTGTGATCAAAGCTGAATTTTCAGCATCATTACTCCAGTCTTTAGTCAATTCAGAAATCATTCTAATATGCTGATTTATTATCACTGATGTGTCAATATTTTAAACATTTAAATAAACATTTAAAAATAGTTTTGCTCTGGATTTTTGGGTTAGCAGCTTTAAATGAGAAAATGTGCAAAAAGTCTCCGAATAGTTTTCTAGTTGCAGCTTCCTAGCGCTTCGTCTGGCTTTTATTATTTTGATTTCCTTGAAAGCTGTTCTTGGGAAGCGTTTGCATCAGTTGTTTTTTTCTGCTGTAATTGTTTCAGCCGGTCCCTTGAGTGACGGCTGTTGTAATCGAATCCGCTGCTCCATATTTAGACGTGTCTAAAGTTCACGCTTGTTTGTGTGTGTGTGTATCTGGTATTTATCACATTATGGGCACCAAATGTCCTCACAAGGATAGAAATGCCAGTAGATTTGGACCTTTTGGGGACATTTTTTGGTCCCCATGAGGAAACAAGCTGAGTGTACTGAAAATCT